ACAAATCGTTTCTGAAACAAGAATTGGTGCCATAATCTATCCCAAACCCTTCACAGTCATGACAGTCTGAGAATACAAATTAATCTTAACACATGCTACTGAAATCTTTTGATGGGCATGCCCAGGAATTAAGAGAACCACTGAGTGAAATGAAAAATGCTCACAGTTGTAAGCAACTAACAAGACATTTTCCATGGAATGTTCTAAAAATGCCTTTAAACTTGGGGATTTTTATTTTTACTTTAAACCAGTTACTTAAATTCTTAAGCTTCAGCTTTATTCTTTGCAAAATGGAGATAATAGTCCTTACACCCCAGGGATGTGGTGAAGATTAAATAAGATTATGCACCTGAGTTCATTTTGTACTAACTGGGTCACACAACTAAAGGTAGTGCTCTAAAACCCAAAAGGCTTTTTACTTTACTTTGCTCTTCAGGAGCATTTCAACAACATTTTTCAAGGTCATGCTGGGTTTTTGAAAGAACCAGAACAAGAGGAATGCTGCCTAGGAAAGCATCTGTAGGTCTTAGTTTCTTGAGTTTCATGCAGCCCTCAGAAATGTTTCATTATTTTACAGACAAGGAAAATATTCAAAGTATACAATCTGCAAAATATGGAATTAGATTCTCTCTAAAGAAGCCAGAGAATAAGGGAACTTGAATGGAAATAAAAGTCAAAAGCTGGAGAATAAAATGAAATCCTACAACTGCTGTGCCCTGGAAGCTTTTGTAGGCCTAGCCCAGGAGCAGTTTCCCAGGCTAAAAGACCAAAATTTGGAAAGCATGGGAAATGATTGAAAAATCAGATGTCCTCTAAAAGGTGACACGCTCAATGGCCTTCGATGATCTACTTGAATTTAAAGACCTCAGAGAGATGTGGGGTCCAATTGATTCCATCTTCTACCCGGAAAGGGGTTGTACCTAAGGGTGGTCGTGGTGGTGGTGGAAGGGATGGCAGAAGGATGCTATTCCTGGGAACAGTTGAAAAGATGTGGTCAAGATTTGAAGTGAGGTCACTTAAAAGGTGGAGAAAATGGAATAGAAACATCATGAAAAGCTTGCCTACTAGTAAAGAAAGTAAAAGGGACCATTTCTGCCATCCTTGACCACAAACACAATCTTTGACATGAGGATGTGTTTTCCAAAAAGCACTAGGAATACCTGCTCATTAGGAAGACAAAACACAAAATTTGATCCTGACTCAAAAGTTCTCTCCACAAGCCTCCAGTCATAGAATAAGATCTCCTTACTGGATTACATGCAGTTCAAGAAAGGCCACTGAGAACAATCCAGGAGAAGCACATTTTTGGAGTTTGCTTTCTCAAATTTAAATGAGATGGCAGCGTTCAGAATATGAACTCTGAGAACCTTTATCCATCGCTGAAAAGACAAACCAGAGAAGATCTGTCTAGTCTCTAGATAACTGGAGCTTCTAGAATAAAAAAGAAACATCCTAGGCAATGCCATTGGGCGACTTTACAAATGTGCAAAGTTCCCAAGAAAAAATTCAGTAAAGTACAGAACAGAAAAGTTGCTACTTAATCCAAGCACAACCAAGAGCCTAGGTACACATACAAAAGTCCTTAATTTAGGTAGTTTAGACTGTTTTTTTTTTTAAAAAGTAGCTTTAAAAGCTACTTTCAGACACCCACACATTTATTTTCACACATACACGATTCTTTGCAAGTTCTTGTACTCTCCACCAACGTGGAAGTAATGAACAAGCCTATCCAGTTTTTCTCTGTGGTTTTAAATGGTCTTACATTCAGAAAATTTTATTTCATGAACGATACTAACAATTTCTTGATAATACTAGGTGTGGGTATTTCTTATTAACTCTGTTATCGTATTATCTTGTCACCTAATAATAAACCTCAGACGTTAAATCTAGGTAATTTACAAATGTTTAGCATTTGCTAAATCCACAAGTTATCAAGTATTCCCTCAATCCTTTTAGAAATCTTAGATTTTTTTTTTTTTTTGACCGGTAAGGGGATTGCAGCCCTCCGCACGGCTCTGGGAGCGCCGTACTCTCCTGAGCGAGCCACGTGCCTGGCCCTTAGCTCTCTAGTTTTAACTTCAAAGTAGTAGCCTAGTAGTTTCCATGCTTCAGCACTTCACATCTGACCCGAGTAGACTTGAAACCAACTATCCTGTTCATGTCTCTGGTTATAATGTCCTGGTAATTCCCCTAAAATTGCAGGAACAGATCATGTCAAAAATTCCACTGTTTTTGATCTTGGGAAAAGTCATGAAACAGGTATCAGCCTTGGCGTTTTAAAATAGGGGAATACCTACAATTTTTTTTTCCAATTTTATGTAATTACACTCTTAAAGTTCCAGGATTACATAAAATAACTCAAATTTTCATTTTGAATATGGGCTTATTGTTGACATCCAAGAACATTCTAATTTAACGGAACCTCCACATGACTCTCTAAGGCATATGTGGTCTTTGTATTTTGAGGTTCTGTGATGCCTTTAAGATGGTTTGGATGACTTTTCCCATCCTGATGTTCAGTATTAACTTATTCATAAGTTAGAAGCTTTGGGTAAACACTGAAACATTGCTGGTAGACACAGCAAAGACATAATCTTGGCCCTCATTTACTGCTGCCTTTTTAACAAGCTTCTTGTATCAAGCTAGTTCTTTTCAGTTTTTTTGTTGTTGTTTACTCAGCTGAACATTGCAGTTCCTTCCTAAGACTTTCATATTAAAAAAGGAAGGTACTTACACATATGCTCTTACAGAGACTGAAGACCTGTAATTTTAAATACACTAAGGCAGCAGGAAGAACTAAGTCATCAGGTTACAAACATCCCCATTTTCCATGAGACTTACAAGTGAAGGTCTAAAATCATCTTAAAGGCCTGGAAATGTGTAGTTTCTCTTCAGCTGTTTTCCTCCTTGCTTCCCATTCTCCATGTCTGACCAATAAACTCTATTGTTTAAAATATATAACCGCTTACCCTCCCTATTGAATGAAGTTCTCTTGCATTGGTGTACAAATGCTATCCTTTAAAGTGTAAAAGCAGATAAACTAATACCGAGGCAGTAGAAAATCTCAATGGCGGAATCATCAAATTGTTTTACAATTTTCAATTATTCTACATGGTCAGCGGAAGAAATTAATAGAAATACTCAGATACCAAGTGGGAAGGTATGCCACGTTAAAGAAACAGCTATTCTGAATCTTTATTAAATGGAATCTCCTCCTGAGGCTTCTCAAAGTCCGTCCCAATATTTCATCACCTTTAGTTACTTTAATTAATCATTAATAGTAAATAGTTAAATTATGCAGTATAAAAAGAGAACATTACTGCAACCATCAAATTATGTTGTAGAAGCATACTGACATGAAAGAGATGTTCATAATATATTATAGACATCCCCAAGCAAGACCCCTTCTTTACAAAAGGTTTTGGAATGAGAAATGTAGAAATCTAAGGGATAGGAGGGGAGGAGGTAGCAGATTGGGAACCAGCATTTGGTTTTGGTCTAACAGAAGCACCGAAGAGAATAATCAGTGACACATTTATTACACCTATTTTGCACTTATTTTCTTTACCTAATTCTTCTAACCTTCTTCATTCTTGCTAAAAAACTTTGCAAAGGGATTCTTTTGATAAAATCCTTTATAGAAAGAATTACATAACATTACAATAACTAAGGTCCTAGCCAATCCACGTGGTTTCAGTTTAGCATCTACCCTCCTGGGTTGTGAAAATGGAATAATGTAAAGCCCTCAATTGGTTTGCCTAATTCTTGCTTATTCACATTGCTGATTATCCAGTGCGGTACAGCTATTCACTGGTAACACAAGTCCACAGAGTTCCTGGAGGCTCTCTTCCCCAATACTTCAATAAGCAAGAAAATTAACACAGGCATGCAAGGAAAAAGCAGATCCAGACTTAGAAGTAGGATAAGTTCTTATCAGTTTTGCTAACATTAGTTCCAGACAAAGTTTTGGCTTACTCTGGCAAGGAAAGCCTCTAAAGTAGATTATTTTCAAGGTCCCCTGAAAGATCTTGACCTTGTATTAGGTAAAAGTTAAGAAATTCATTTCAGGTCATCCAATTTAAACTGGAATTGTATAAATACTGTAACACACCTAAATCATTTGACTTTTATATTTCTGGAGGCTAATTCAAAAATAAGCAAAATAATTCTGGTAAATAACTCTGGGGCAATGATCTTGCCCATCACTGAACTTATACATATACTCCAGCATCTAGCACAGCCTAAAAACTGGTCTAAAACCTACAATGAAGAGACTTACTATGTCTGTGTGACACCTCTAAGTATTAAGAATAAACAGAATTTTAGTTTCTTCAAAGCTATCTTAGAAGTCTTTGTTCTTGCTTTTTAACAAAATGGCAACAATTTACTCCAATCATCAGCATCAAATCAATTTCACAAATGTAATAATACTCTTGTCAACCACAAAACCTTTCAGACTGTAGTTTTAACCAAAAGTTAAACTTGTACCTTCATATCAGAAAATAATTCGTTTAATAGAATTGGTGATAAAAGACAAAAATCCGTAAACAAAGGATACACACTAAGTAGAATCAAATTGAATTCAGGATTTCAATTGACTCTGAAGTATAAAACAGTCATTTACTATTTCATTTACAATTAGGTCAGTAGTGATTATTTGTGGGTTAACTATACAAACATGTAACCAAATAACCTAAAACCAGCTAAATCTCTGATTTACTATAATATAACACTCATTTAAAGAAAAAGCTAAACAGAGAGAGGAAGGGAGATTAAAGGAAAAAAAAAAAAAACAACTAAAACTTGGACAGGAGAATAAATGACAGATTCAAGCCAAGAGCAAGAGAACACACACACACAAAAATTACTACAAGAGCAAGTTCAGGTAGCTGGTCGGGGAGTGGGGAAAACTTAGAAAATACTCAATTCTGTCAAGCAGCTATTTTCCAGTCTAAACTGCTAATGATAATAATTATATGAAAAACACCAAGGAGAATACATTCAAGTTAATGGAAACAAGTCTTTATTAAGTAACTTTTAATATCAGAAAAATAAAACTCTTATAATTCTCTTTACAGCAAATATATAATATCAGTGCTTTGGCCATCTTAAGTTAAAGGCCCTTTATCATAAAATATATGGTTTTAAACTTTACTCAAATTGAATTTATAATCCCTATGACTTCCCTACATATACATAACAAAAGAGTGTAGTAAAATTAGCAAATACTAAACTATATTGATAATTTATCATTCTTAGTTTGTGGTTTTTAGAAACAGTACACGCACCTAATATATGTCGATTCCTTGGCTTATTAGTTGCAGTGTACAATGCAACAAAATACAAAATACATGCTTGGTGAACATTCGTTCTTATCTACAAGACGGCAGCTAGAGATTAGGTTTCAATACTGACATTTAACTATTCTACAAGCAATTAGCATTACATCTTAATATGCCATCAAGGCAACTTCTTTTTATACTGAAAAAATCAAAATAAAAACCGTTATTTGTAAACTTTTATACGAAATGTAACTCTTCAAGTGGAAATAAAAAATAAAATTTGTCTATTTACTATTGAATACACATAGGATTTCAATTTTTGTTATACTGAGAAAAAAAGTTCTTTTGTGTTGGGAAAATAACATTTCAAAAAATAATTAGTAGAAAAACCCACCTGTATAATGTTTTGTCCTTTCAATGCCAGCATAAATTTGGGAATATACTGAGGATGAAGTTACAGACATCAATAGGTGAAATGTACAAGTGTATTTAAATCTTTCCTTATGATTGGAAAAAGTTCTGAAATGAAGTAAACTGATTGGAGGTTGTCACAGCTGCTTTTGTGAATTATGCCAAGGGCATTATTGTCCCTTTCTCCCCCCCACTCCCCTAAATTACTAAAAAATAAAAATATATTTATAATGTGCAAGACAAATATGGATTGAACATAAAATGTTTCACATTTTGATCTATAGTCTAAAAATTAATAGCTTGATCAGACTAATGAATGGAATGTTCGCATCCTCAATTATTAGCCAATACAGAAGCATCCCAAAGCCCTTCCTGAAATGGGAAAACCCAGGTGGCCATTTCCACATTCACCAAGGGAGGCAATGGGTAGGAATTCACAATTGCATTCCTGATCCACTCATCATACCAGTCTTGAGCATTCTGGGCGAGATGAAGGTCAATGTAGCAGTTTTTGTCCCAAATTATAACCAGTGATCTAGTAAACTGCCATCAGCCCTACTATTACCAATGAATAATCACAATGCATTAAAAAGTTACTTGCAATCCTGCAGAATTAGGCATAAGTTGTTGTAAAATAAAAAACAAACCTGTTTTGTCAAAACTGGCAGTGTAAAGAAGGCAGCACTGGAAGTGTCTGAATCATCTGTAATGCCAAGTACCCTCCATAAACTCTTAATGTGGTTAGGCTTTGGGACTCATCATTTTGAAATCTTAGACATATACACTTTCTCATAGGCTCACACAACCTATGATTATCTTCACTCAGCCAAGTTGAAGTTCAGCTTTAACAATACAAACTATGTCTCTGGGTCTACAGGATAGTATTAATAATTCGAACCAAACTAATAGACAAGAGACCACTTAGGTTTAGTGTTACCATAGCAGCCTTTTATAAGTTTACTAACAACTTTAGCCTAATCCCAATAAAGCCTGATAACAGTCATAAGAATTCATTAGGAAATTTACTGGGGGTACCATTATACCCATGCCTTTACGAGTCCATATAGAGATATAGTATTTATGTATATATATATAGTTAAGAGTGAATTTGGATCGCCTGAGTAACAGCTGTCTGGCAAACTGGACATGATGGCGTTCTCTTTTCACAGATCTTGTTGGCACATTCCATGCAGAAAAGGTTGTGGCCACATGGAACTAGGGCAGCAATAACTTCATTCTCAAAGCAAATCACACAGTCGTGCTTTCGTCTTGATTCTGGAGGTGAGCTAGAGGTGGAACCACCATTGGAAGAGGAGTAACTATTGGTACCATTAGAAAAAGCAGGGATGTATATTGGAAGGCCAACATGGTTGCCTGTACTAGGTGGGTCGCTCCTAACCCTCCGAGCAAGTGGGTGTTCTATGCTCTCGGGAAAGGTAGGAGACAGACGAGGAGTAGATGGCTGACTTCCTCTACGCTGAGTCTTCACGTTACCAGAAGGATCACTCCCAAAGCCAGAGAGTGGGTTAACTGGTTCAAACGGAGTCCAGATAGTTTGAGCAGATGTTGGTAAAGAGTCAAAGGCAGGAGAGTCAACTGCAAGATCTTCTGAGCCTACAGATGGTAGTGTGTCTCCAAACCAAAAGTTTCCTGTGCTAAATGGGCTTGTTGGACTAAAGTCGGCCAGCCTATTGCTTCCAAAGTAGGAATCTGTGGAACCACTTCCTAGAGAACTGGAACTATCATTTCGATAATTGGATATCATTCTTGCACGGCTAGGAGGAACTGGATTGGAGGAGAGCCATGCAGAGCTGAGAGTGCCACCTTCAAAGCTTACATCGGTACCATTATAATGGAAATCGTTCTCTTCATTGAGCTCTATATAGTTTCCTGTACGCATGGCAATATGCATTTCTATTTCTTCCCGTGCTCGGTCAACATTTTCGGGCATCCCTGTCACTTCAAAGACGGGCTCCTTATCTCTGCTCGGAGTTACTATGTATGTGTGGGTCTGCTGCTGAATTCTTTTAATAGTTGCTCCTTTGGGTCCAACCACTAATCCTACCACACGATAGGGGACTCTGACTTGGACAGTGGTTTGACCAGGCAGATTAGGACTACATGACAACCCTCCCAGGGCAGGGCCATTTTTGTTGCGAGATGCACGAATCATGGAGAAGTGCTCTGCAGCTGACAGGATTTCTCTTTTGGCCATGGCAACATCTTCTTTCCGTCCAGTGACAACAAAAATGGGCTCTTCACCACGAACAGGTGTCTTGATATATGTGTTTGTCTTGGCTCTCAGTGCTTTAATTTTACAACCTGTTAGAAAGAAAACACTTCATAAGAATCAACATCTACTTCAATGACATTTATAAAAACAAATCACAGAAAGCTATTTTCAAGCTAAACATCTGTATAGAAACAGTTTTTATCTTATTTTATTTTTCTTAGTTTTAGAATTTATTCTTTTCCATAAAAACTTACCACTATATGATAAAATCTTCCTAATTCCACTAATATTCTCAGATCTAGAGGTATACTTTGTCTGGTGGTCTTTCATTTGGGAAAAGATGGTACTTTTACTTGGAGGTCTTAAATTCAGAAGTCTGATTTACTGTTTTCTTCCTCTTGTTATTAATCATTGCAAATAATGCATAAAGTAGTCCATATAGGTAAGCTATACCATGAGTGGGTTTGATTTTCAGAACAATAATTAACTACGTTGCAGGGTGTTGGTGGCAAAGGGAAACAGTAATGTACAGGTGAGACATATAATACCTATTGTCTCAATCTACACAATAACTTTAAGAACCAGACAGACTATTACTCTCCTTCTATTGCTAAGTAAACTGAAGCCCAGAAAAACTGTACAACTTGCCAAAGTTTACACAGCTAGTAAGTGGCAGACCCAGAGTTAAGCCCAGTCTGACTTCAAAATCTATTGTCTTTTCGCTAGTCCAAGAACTTCAATTTTTAGGCAACTGTACGACAGAAGTTCTTAAACTGACTTCCACTTAATGATCATAACATTTTAACTTAAAATTCCTCTTTCTTCTGTAAAACTCAATTGATGATAACAATAAACTGAACGCTCACATCTGGTAGGTCATCTCACTTCTGCTCCCACCAGTTGAACTGTAGGCTCATTAAGAGTCAGCTGTGTTTATTCCCATCTTGTCTACACTAGCTGTACTCATACTAGTAACTAAACTTACAAAAACCAGTGCAAAAAAAAAAAAAATTGTTTCTATGAAAATTAAGTTGAATGTTTTTGAAAATTGCAATAAAGCTAAGTACCTTAAAGAAAAAAAAAATCTGCTGTTGAATTATGCATGGATGAGACAACTATAAAAGCCTGGAATAAAAAAAGTAATACAGAATGATTTTGTGCTCACTGTAAAGTTCTTGCTCAATTTAAAAAAAACAGATACTGAAGATTGTATGGAATATGGGCGCTGGATATGGTTTTATTAAAGAAGGACTACTCTCAAGTAAAAGGTTTTAGTGCCAAATCCTAAATATATTTAAGCAAAATAAAACATCTTAGATACATATGAATAACTTTTTATAATTCCCCTCTTTAACCAACTTTTTTCCAGTAATAACCAATTACCAGTGCCAACTATGCAAGATTACAGGGCTTCAAACTATAACCTAAAATGTCAAATATACAACTAAGGCATAAAACTGAAGCTATACAAATATTTTTCAAAGATCTTAACATGAAGTTTTCCATAATAGATTTGTTCTCATAAACATATCATGCTATTCCTAGTTCCTCAAAATAAAGAAGCTAAGTGCTATAGATAATATGTGTCACAACTTGGGAAGTCTTGCTCTTAAACTTCCCTTCCTTTTTTTGTCTCCAGTAAATTAATAATGTGCAAAAACTAAGACTTTATGTATACATACATCATTGCTAACCTGCATAAATGTAATATTCCCCTGCCCCCACCACCCCAAATAAGTCTATTTGCCTCCAGTTTTGCCTTGCTCTAATCTACTCTCTATATTCACTTTGGCCAGATGATGCTTTCTAAATAGAGCACAGACCACGTGATCACTTTTTTGCATAAAGTGCTTTACTGGCTCCCTTTTTATCATAAGGATAAAGTCCATACAAAGCCCCTCTTTACCTAGTACCTGATTGCTTCTAGCTTCATCTCTTACTACTCTCCTTTCCCCCTTTCTCACTCCTTAAACTCTTGCTGTATGCTTCAGGCATATTAAAATCCTATGTATTTCTATGCTGTCTTGCTTCCATGACTAGAATGCTCCTTTGTCCTTGCCTCTTTACTCCCAGCTCTGCTTAACTCCTGCTAGCCCTTCATGTTTTAGTTTACAGCCTAATCTTCTAAGAAGCTTCCTCACCTCCAGGACTGGTTTGTGTGCCCTTCCAAAGCATTTCCAAAACACTGGGTGGTTGACTATAATATAAATATATACATGGGGTGACTATGCAACATTTGTTGAAAGATTTTCTATATGAAGAACACCAGGCCTTTCTTATGCATATTGCTTTGGATCTAAACTTTTTTGCCTAGGTTTCAAGACCCATATTGCTAAACTAACCTTGTTGAAGGGAGTTGATTTTGCTAACTTCAATTATAGGACACTCAAAACAACTGTGGAACTCATGAGGAAATGGCTGCTTTCTTCCTACTGGATCCCAGGGAACATATCATGAAAACACTTTGAATGAGGTTCTCCAAAAATTGAGAATTAGAATGAGTAAAAGCACCACTGAGTGTGACCTAAAAATGGTGTCTCCCTTCCCCAAAGAGCTTTCCCAGATGTCTAATTTTTCCTTGATTTTATTACACTTTCAAATATCTCAATGCTGGCTACAGAGCTAGTTTAAGAAAAGGGGAACTTAGAGACTGAGCTACCAGTTATGAAAATAAGAATCATAATACATCAAGGTTAGGAAGAAGTACTGCAACTTTAAAGCTGAATTAACCTAAGAGTGTCGGTCTGGCCCCTTTCAAATTTTTCTATATTGACCCTTAGAAAACTAAATTAAGAAATTCCTCCAAATAAATACTTCTGAGACTATCAGCAATTTTCAGTCCTACCAGTAGGTATATTCCATTTTTATAGGAATTGAGCTATCATTTTCCACCAACAAGACTGTCCACTATCAAAAACCTTATAAGAATGCTAGTAAAAGTGGGGGAAAGGACCCTCTCTTTATTTTAACTGGTGAGAGTATAAACTGTCCTTTCTGGAAGGCAGTTTGCAATATCTACCAAAATTATAAGTACATATATCCTTGTGCTCTCCTACAATCCTACTTGTAGAGTTATCTAGTAGAAATCCTTACAAAATGACCTCTGTATTATATTACTTGTCTGGACTAGTGTGAGGCTAGTACAGCCATATAACGAAAAACCATGCATTCCTAAAACTGGTTGACCTGGGGCACAGAGTAGGAGGGAGACAGTTTTCTCTGTATACTCTTTATTTTTTATAAATTTTGAGTGAATTGAGATCATTTTCCATTGGCCAATATGTGACTGATGGAGAGATGCCTAAGAAATTCTGAAATGGGTGTGTGAACACACAACTGGTCATACTCTACACTCAGGGGAGTTATTGTTATTATTTGGATACGTAACTTTACAATGGGCTACTACTTAGCAAGAAGGCAGTCTGCTAGAACCATATTCCTAATAACAGACAATTGTGATCATCCTGCAGAAAAACACTAAACCATTTCTATTTCTATTAAGGACAAAGAGAGAATTAACCTAAGAGTGTCGGTCTGGCCCCTTTCAAATTTTTCTATATTGACCCTTAGAAAACTAAATTAAGAAATTCCTCCAAATAAATACTTCTGAGACTATCAGCAATTTTCAGTCCTACCAGTAGGTATATTATAAGAAGGAAATATGCTTAAAGGTCCACAGAACACTATCTGGCCTATGGTTGGTTCTCATAAATAGGTGCTCAATACATGGCTCATTGAATAGAGAAAAGAAGAATGTTTTGAGTTTAGACCACTTCTAAGATGCGAGATAGGCCTATTCTACCCAAAAAGGTCTTGTGCTTACTAGGTTTTGCACATCAGGGGAAAGAGGCAACAGGAAGACAGCAAAGCCAACCCCTTTTAAACCACTGTAAATTAAAATAGAGGAATATATTTCTTCCCCTTCCTAAATTTTATGACAGTTTTAACACAGTACCCTAAACTTGGATTAGAACTACAAGATACCTTACCAATCATAACATTGTTTCCTTAGGAAAATATATATTAGGAGTCCCAAACAATTAATGATTTCTAGAATATGAATACATTCTAAAGTTGCGGACCACTTGAATGGGTAGAGTTTTTAAAAGGTGATACAAACTAAAGGAGAAAAAACATAATTTTGCAGGCGGGGAGGTAAAATGCTTTTTGGCGTATTTTAGATTAGGTTTCCACTTGAATATTCAAAGACATTTTTAAAAACCATGGAAGACTTTATAATCCCAGAGTGAAGCAAAACTCAGAAGCCATAAAAACCTGATAAATTAAAAAAAAAAAAAAATTGTTGCATGGCAAAAGTCACCAAGAAAAAAAAAAAAAAAAAAAAAAAAAAAAAAAAATTTGCAACTCATCCCAGAAATGGCTAATTTCCCTCTCTCTTTCACACACATTCCTCCCCTGCAAATCAAAACACCAAAAAGCCAGCAGCAAAACAGGTAAAGGAAACAGCTCACAGAAAAGCAAATATGCAAATGGCTCTGAAGATGGAAATTACCATTTTTATAGGAATTGAGCTATCATTTTCCACCAACAAGACTGTCCACTATCAAAAACCTTATAAGAATGCTAGTAAAAGTGGGGGAAAGGACCCTCTCTTTATTTTAACTGGTGAGAGTATAAACTGTCCTTTCTGGAAGGCAGTTTGCAATATCTACCAAAATTATAAGTACATATATCCTTGTGCTCTCCTACAATCCTACTTGTAGAGTTATCTAGTAGAAATCCTTACAAAATGACCTCTGTATTATATTACTTGTCTGGACTAGTGTGAGGCTAGTACAGCCATATAACGAAAAACCATGCATTCCTAAAACTGGTTGACCTAGGGGCACAGAGTAGGAGGGAGACAGTTTTCTCTGTATACTCTTTATTTTTTATAAATTTTGAGTCATACAAATGCTTCATTTTTCAAAGAAATATGACTAAATTAGAAAAGAAAAACTAATATAAGGAAATGACACATTTTAGTAGTTTCAGCATATCAATTAAGACTTTTGGCTAGTACTACTGAGATTTTAATTTACACGAACAGTAGCATAAATGATTTTATAATCTCTAAACAAGGTTTTGT